CGAGGTCAGGTAACTAACTATCTCATCACTCATCTCAAATAATCAACAATCTCAATATCACTGTTCCTCAGACCCACCCCGGTGGCTACACAAACTTCACCGGCGCGAGCCTAGAATACAACCGCAATCACAATATCTCAGCTCCTCAGACCCACCCCGGTGACTACACAAACTTCACCAGCGCGAGCCCGGAATATACATCAACAATCACAACCGCTCACATGGACCAAGACTTCTCACCCCAATTCTCGTAATTCCAGGTCAACTATACACGATGTTCTAACTGTGTCATACAGGTCACTATAGTCATGAACTCCTAATAATTCTTAATCACAATAATAAACAATCAATGTAACTAATCATGTGCAATAATATCATAGCATATCAAATAATCAAATAAGAATTATAAATCATAAACAGCAGCTACATAATCAGAAAATAATCTTTTTCTAAATTAATTCATTTTAAATTATTTTGCTTAACAATTAATCTAAACTAATTTATTTTTCAAAATAAATTCTTTTAAGTTATTATAATTATCTAAAAATGATTCTTTTGCCGAACTAAATTCTTTTAATTCATTATAATTATTCCAAAAACACTATTTATCACATATCAATTATTCAGATCAATATTCTTCAGCAACAACCCACGCGATAAATACGTCACAATTAAACTACGTAAATGATTCATAATAATAATGTAAATATTCAACTACGAAATAAGGAGAGCGGGATCTTGCACATAAATAATCTACGACGAATATAAAAATTGGAACGAAACTAAACAAGGATCGGGATCTTGCACGTAAATAATTTACGATAAAACTAAGAATTAAATGAAAATAATCGAGGTTCGGGATCTTGCCTCGGGGTTCGTCGAACGAATCGATGTTGACGACGTGGGTCGGGTCCGACGCGGTGGTGCGCGACGTCGGGGAACTCCGACGAGGGGCAGCGGAAGTCTTTTTACGAGAGAGAGAGGAGAGCCTATACATAGGGTAGGCTAGGGTTTTCTTTAGCTGGCTATTTTAGAGGGAGAGAGACATGTACGTGATTGGAGGGTTGGTTTAGGAAGGAAATCAAATAAATGGGGAGTGATTAGGGGATTGATTGAGAAATAAATTAGGGAAAAATATGGAAGGAATTCAAATTCAAATGAGAAAAAAATAAGAGAGGGAAAATTCAAAAATTCCACAGAATATTCTGAATTATATTAATAATTAATAATTAATAATCAACCAAAAATCTTTTT